TCAAAAGGAAATCTCTTAAATAAAATATGTAAATATATTTATATGTAACATTAATTCATTACAGACTATTTTGAATAAAACCAGTACACTTGTGTTTTGAATTCTACACTTGTGAAGCAGCATAAAAGTAAAGATACAAGTCTTCTAGCTCTGAGATTTTACAGCCAGCTACAAATTCACTGGGGAGACCATTGCTCTTGCGAGGGCTTTCTGTCACGTGAACAGTCTCAGCGTGGATATGCACCATCACAGAGGTCTGTGTCTGCGTGAGAGAGGTAGCCTCTTCTCCTGGCAAGGGTAGTGTGGATACCTCCATCCACTCCTTTCCCTGTTCCTTCCTGCAGGCTGTTTAATTACCTGCAGTGTTTGTTGATAAATTTTTTAAGTACCTGGACAAACTAATGAAAAATGAACTACCAGAGGTTATCCTTGTGTTTAATCAGTATACGGTGGTATTTCAATCATACTGGGTCTGTGTGCCAGAAATCTTAGCAGCAGTTAGCCACAGGGTGCAAGTGCAGCATTAACAGCAATCTGATGAATGGTCATCCACTTTATAACTGGCATGAGCACCTGCTTCCTGAATCTTCTGCACTAAATAGAAGATTTCTCAGATTTCTCGATTCATAATATATGCTAGCCTGTATGTGATTTGACATAGGCAGGCATATGTCAAATGTATTCTTCCTGTGTTCGATTGCTTTTGAATGATCTTGTTAAACTGCTACCTAGTTTGTGAGATCCACACAAAGATCTCTTGGCATAAAACTTGGCATAGTTATTGTATTTAATGATTTAGAGAGGTAAATGATTCGCATGGCTCATTGTTTGATATTTTTGCAAAAGCAAAATCTAGGGTGTACTTTATCTTTTCTCTCAGTGGTGTCTTAGTCATTTGCAAAGAAGAAACATAATACAAGCAAAGTGACAATGATTTCTTACCTTTTCATTAGGTATCTGTTTGTGTACGTTTTGCTCTCGGTTGACATTGCAGTCTAGCAAAAGTGATCTCATGATGCTCATGCCTTTAACATGCTCATAAGTATGATTTCCAGCACAGGTGCCAAGCAATAGCTTTGCTACCTTCCACTAAATTACAATTCCATACCTTATTAAGGTTGTTAATATGTTAAAAATAACCATGATTGGAAAAGCAAACCATCTGATTGATTTTTGTCCCATCTTTACTATATAGAACTGCCTTTGACTTCAAAGAGTTATCTTAGCTCAGAACAGGGGACAGAGCAGAAACCTGTGCAATGATTCACGAGAATAGATGGAAGTCAGTGATTAGTTCATGTGCCTCTAGTCTCCAGTAATAGCATAAATCTTTGGGGAAGTTCTTTAATGTCAGGTTGTATGCCTGTCTATGTCAAATCACGTACAGGCTAGCATATATTACGAATCGAGAAATCAGGAATAAACAAAAATTCCTTTTGTTGTTCATTATTTAAAGACGTCACACAGACTGAAGATATAGGAGAAAAGCATAATATTGCCCTCCTTTAACCATACAAAGCTAATGCATATTTATGAACACAAAGACCATTCACTTATGGCTAAGCATCTTTGTGGAACAGAAGAAAAATATTGACTGCAGGCTAAAACATATCTGCAACTTCTCAAGTCCACAAACTAGTTTATTCCCAGCTTAAAAATTTCAAGGTGTGTTGAATGTTAACATAATGAGGAAGGCAATGAATATATAGCAAGCCTAGAAAAGAAAGTTTACCACTGTGTCATTTAAATCAGTGGATTTTATAACAGCATCCTCTCCCTGGGATAATAAAACTTAACATGTATATGTGCTGTTTCCTTTGCATTATATGATGCAAGTTGAAGAATCTTCTCTTAGGGAGTTAATGTCCACCAGTTGAGAAGTCATTCCTTACATCCTTCATCCTTTTTTTTTCTTCTTAATTTTAAATTCCTTTGTAGTTAACACACAGTGTTATATTAGTTTCAGGTGTACAATATAGTGATTCAACACTTCCATACATCACCCAGTGCGCATTACAAGTGTACTCCTTAATCCCCATCACCTGTATCACCCCCATCCCCATCTCCCCCCCAGCTCCTTCACCATTCTCTAACGGAAGTTAGCTGGAACACCAGACATACTAATGTGTTTAGCTGACCATGACCAAACCGTTAAGTAGACCGGAAACAGAGGGAGGAAGGCCTTCAATTAAAAGATGGGGATTAACTATAACACATTGAAAGAAAGACAACCCAATGACACACAGATCCCTCTTTGATAAGGAAGGAAGTTACAGTCTCTTAACAGTGGGCCCCATTATCAAAGACACTGTTACCCGAGACAGAAGTATAGCCCTCTGGGCCTGGTGAGCATTCCTGCCCTTCTGGTGTGGTCTGCCACCCAGTGCTCAAGAGGCTGTGGGTTACCTGTAACCCCTCTGGTATGCTGTGCTTTCTGATGCGGACCCTGGGAGGACAGCCCTTATCAGGCCAGAATCCACCAACATGAAAAGCCACCACCACTTTCTGTTCTTTTGCTGCTAAAACCAAAGCCCTCCTAGGGAAATCAGAAATTTCTACAAGACTCCCTTTCATATGAAGGAGGCTTTCAGAATTTGTCCAAGTGTGTTATGTTTGCATCTATGGATGATAGTTTGTGTTATATTTAACATCTATACCTTCAGAGAGAGTTATTTCTATAAGGGAGAGTGGTAGGGAGAAACAATACTCAAACTCTCTGGCAAACCTAGTCAATGTAAATCAATTGAGGGAAAAATTCTGTACAAAGAAATTAAGGCAGCTCATGGTTTAAACTAACAAAAAGAAAACCCTGTTTTTTAGGGGGAAAAGCCACGTAAGTTGTAATGGTTGCTGAGAAGCAGCTGCACGTTTCTCTTTGTGCAGTACCGCGCATCTGGCTGGCCGAGGTTTCAGACCTCCCATCACATTGCTGCCAGTCCGTTAAGGGATGAGAAACTGAAAGGCACGGAGAGACCTTTTTTTTTTTTTTTAATTAATAGACTATTTTTAGAATGGTTTTAGGTTTACAGCAAATTGAGCCGATTAGACAAAGTTTCCATATATTCCCTCTCTTTACAATTTCCCCTATTATCTTGCATTAGTGGGGGACTTGTGTTACAGGTGATGAACCAATATTGTATATTATTATTTGTAAAAGCCCTTAAGTTACATTAGGGCTCACTGCTTGTGTTATAGATTCTGTGGGTCTTGACAAATGCATAAGGTCATGTACTGGTCGTGTCCCACAGAGCAGCTTCCCTACCCCGACGACCTCCTGTGCTCCACCATCCCAGCCTCCCCGCCTGGCCCCGTCAGTGCTTTATTTCTTAGAGAACGAGTGGTGGGGAGGGACAGAGGGAGGGAGAGAGAGAGAGAGCACAAGGGGGGATGGGGGACAGGTGGAGGGAGAGAGAGAGAGAGAAGCAGCATCCCTGCTGAGCAGGAAGCCTGATGCAGGGCACAAGCCTCAATCCCAGGACCCAGAAGTCATGACCTGAGCCGAAGGCAGATGCTTAACCAACTGAGCCACCCAGGAGCCCCTGATGGGTTCTGTAATTTATACCAATTGTTTCCTGTTGGGCATTGTTTTCACAATGTTTTGTGTTTTCAGTCCACCCACTTTTCTCCAAGTGTATCTAATCCATTGCTTGGTGTTTGTCTACCTGCGTTTGCCCAGTGATGGGCATCAAGTTCAAATATATTTTATGTTTTCTTTAAACATTCTTTGTGTTTGAATATATTTAAGCCCTCTTAATTGAATTTATGCCTTCTGATTAAGTGTTCAAATAGAAATATATATTTATGAGTTGTATAGGTAGTAGAGATGTATATGAACTTGTGTTATATTTCAAGAACTGATAAGTAATTTAGAGAGTTGTTTTCCTAATAAAAGCAATCCTTTGACTAAAGACAAAGCCTACTCATATGCTGAGGTCTTATATACAGCAGAGTAAGTTCTCAGAGCCTATAACAGAGTACAAAAGACATAGTTGGAATAAAATGCTATAAAAGGAGGTGTAAGTACCTTACTCTGGCAATGTGTCATATATTAAGCTTTTAAATAGTTTATTAAAATAAAGAATATCTTTATCCCCTCAGAGTTATATGAGTTATTAAAAATATCTTTTTTAGGTAATTATTGAATAGATGTGTGCATTGGCATTTTCCCCATAAGGACTTGAGGTATCTTTCTGTAAAGACCGTATATCCTGAGGATAATGAATAGAATACAAAAGTAATGGAAAGTCATTACTTTGCAGAAGAAGAGGAATTTCCAAGTATTCTATTTAAAAGCAAATGTGTAGCCTTGATTAAACATTACATTTAACTTTAACCTGCTTATAAACTGAAAACTTGAAAACATAGTAAATTATATCAGTTTTCATAATCCAGATGGAGGAAGCATACTCATTCCTCAAGGTAGATACTGTCTCCTGGTAGAGGTAGATATTTCTCACTGAGCATCCCCTAGAGTAGCCATGGGCATAGGAAGCAGATTAACCATTAGCAGGATTGACATTGAATTCTGAAAGCTAGAAGTCCAAGTCTGAGATAAAGTAGCGATTTTACTTAGGAAGCAATGTTTTATTTACACTTGAGCAAGTGTTTGATTAAAACCCTAGAACTGTCATATAGGGCTACATCGTTAGCATGCGGAATCCGTTCAGTCTTTAGAATTGGCAAGTAGAGGTAGGAATCCTGATTCTGCCCCCTTGTTATCTGTGTGGTCCTGGGCACATTTAATCTCTGCAAGCTTCAATTTTCTCATGTGTAAAAGTAATAACAATAAGTTACCTTGCAAAATTGTGACTAGGATTAAGTCAGGTGAAAGTTCCTGGGATTATTCAGCGCATACTACTTAAATTCGTTGTTAGGATTAAGTATGATAACCACATAAGGTTCTGGGATTGTACCTGTTGCATAGGACCAGATCTTCAGTGCACATTGATGTCCTGTCCTTTCTCTTCACTCTGCTAATGATCATTCCCTCTCTACTTCAGGGAAAGCACAAAATGCATGTAGATACTGGAATGGAAGGTGATTGGTGTGGCCTTATTCCTGTTGGACAGTCTTGCAATCACGTTACGACAACAGGCCTAAAGTGGAACCTCAGTAAGTAAAACCCTTGCACAAAGGGAGGTTTTCTTTCTTTAAAAAAAAAAAAAAAAAGTGTATATATATATATGTGTGTGTGTGTGTGTGTGTATATATATATATATATATAACAATGCCCAATAGGATATATATATATATCTGGTATATATGTAGCAGTGGAACTCTTAGGTCGAAGGTAGGTCTGTGTTTAATCTTTCTGTGAACTGTCAGGCTATCTTCCAGAGGAGCTACACCATTTCATATTTCTACCAGCAATGTGCGAGGCCTCCAGTTTCTCCCACAGCCTCACCAACATTTGTTATTATCTTTTTGTTTTTACACATCTTAGTGGGTATGCAGTGGTATCTCATTGTGGTTTTATTTGCTTCCCCCCCCCATGACATGATATCAGATACCTTTTCATGTGCTTATGTATATTTTCTTTGGAGTAACATCTTCAGATCTTTTGCTCATATTTTAATTGCATTATTTTCCTTTTTAGTTTGAGTTGTAAGATTTCCTTATATATCCCAGATAGAAGTCCTTTATCAGATATATGACTTGTAAATATTTTCTCAGAGTCTTTGACTTATATCTTCATTTTCTGAAATTTAATTAACTAAATTCATTAATTTAATTTTGATGAAGTGTGATATTTTTTCTCTTACGGATTGTACTTCTGGTATGGAATCTAAGAATTCTTTGTCCAACCTTCTTCATGATTATGTGTTCTTGAAACCTAGTTTACTTTTCCAGAGAAGCAGCTATTTTAACTAAAGTAGCAAGTTATCTTCATAGTCAAAGATTTTACAAGATTAGCTGCTTTTTACTAAGTTTTAAAATGTTTCCCAGTACTTATTAACTGTAATAGGTCCTAGTTATACTAAAACTGTCTGATTTGAAAGGAACAAAAACTGAGGTGGATCTTTTCATGAAATAAGTGCTGATTCCAAAATAAACCATCAGGCTTGTGAAATGGGTCAACTCTAGTCTCTTTAAAAATGATAGTAATTTAATCAAAGCGCTTTGGTTGAATGTCAGAGGGATTGTCTCCTGATTGACCAGTACCTCTAAGGTTGTAAAAACTAAAATATAGAACCACATCATTCTTTTGTAACATGCAAAACTCTGAGGTTCCCACAAGGAAATAAATATTTCAACAAGTAAATAATTTGAAGATAAAAAGATATTTTAAAAGACTTTTCTATGAGCCACTGCTGAAACAATTAGGAAAAACTAGAGCTATTTTGGGCAAATGTCTGGAGAGCTCATCAGAATTTGAAAGGAGGGTGAGAAAGATCTGCTTCAGCGCACAGAAATATGTGACAGCCTTTGAAACTGTTTAGCTGAAACTGACATGAGCTCCCATTAGAAACTTTTTTTGAAAACATTTCCAACCTAAAACAACTGTACTTTTTGGAGTTCCATTCATTCCCGGGACCCAGTCTTGATGCTGGTGAAGTCCTTTCGGACCCGGCAGTGACTTCACTTTTCAGGGCCGGCACCAAGACAGGAACGGGCACTGAGCAGGAACGAGGGCTGGCAGTGCGGGCAGTGGCCCCGCTTCCTTTCTCTTACAGTGATGGGAAAGACTCGGACGATCATCCAGGCTTCTTCAGGGCTCCTTAGAACATCCTCTGATCCCGTGTCCTATAGTAACATGCACGTCCTAATTTCGTATAATGAGGTCGACTCTGGGAAGGGGCCTTGGACATGATGCGGCATTTAATCTTACTGTCCGTGATAATGTTTCAATCCTGCAGAAATGCTATGTACTACTACTTCTTTATATATTTACAGATTGCTTTGTCTTTTAAAATAATTATTTTTCTTCTACAATTTTATGCAAAATATGTAAATAGCAATTTAATGGAGTATGCAAAGCAAGAAAATTGAGACACACTGTTTCATCGGTTCTCTGTGGTGAAAGCTACTTAATGGGGTCTTGTGATAGGTAATATTACATCATTAAAAAGTAGTGAGAACAGCTGGGAAATGATGCAATGTCAACGTGAAGAACAGTGTCTAGATTTCTTCCACTGAGAGGGCAGGGCCCCTGCTTCTCTCACTGTCATTGTGAAAGCAGAGTGCTGAGGTCAATGTCAACTTGTCAGTCACACCTATGAAGTGACAGGATGGCCCAGGAAGGAGAAAGGAGGCGCAGTAACTCAGCCAGGTGCCGATCACTTCTTAGTTCAAGGAGAGTACGCAAGTGCTTCTAAAGAAACCTATCAAAATCTCCCTCAGGGATGGGAGGGCAATCTGGCTGTGACATCTGTCACCCCACTGATCGCCAGGGTGGATTTGGCTGATCTGGCTGACACCCTCACCACGGCGACTTGTGCATCCCTCCCAAAGCTGCGCACTGGGTCGTAGGGGATGACCTTCCCCTATAGCGGAGGACCGTTCTTCGGTCAAGGGTATACGAGTAGCAGCGCTCCCCTGCTAGGATCTCCAAACAAGCTCTCAACATCCATGTGTAGGAGAACGTAGGGTAGTCAAACTTCCAAGACTCCAGACACCTCCAAATGAGGTGCTGCATGTGCCAGTCTGCCTTTCTTTAAAAAAAACAAACAGGGCTCCTGGGTGGCTCAGTTGGTTAAGCGACTGCCTTTGGCTCAGGTCATGATCCTGGAGTCCCGGGATCGAGTCCCACATCAGGCTTCCTGCTCAGTGAGGAACCTGCTTCTCCCTCTGGCCCTCCCCCCTCTCATGTGCTCTCTCTCTCTCTCTCTCATTCTCACTCTCTCAAAATAAATAAATCTTAAAAAACAAACAAACAAACAAACAAACCCAAATCTCCCTCAGGGGGTCTGGAGGCTGGCTGTCTCCCAGTCTTTACCCACTCTAAAAGGTGATGCCACAAGTTCTGAAACTAATCTGATTTACCTGTTTCAATTTGCAGTATCTCTCATCACGTTCTGTCTTTAAAACAAGTCTGAAAAGGTGCTCTGTACCCATCACCCAGAAGTGAAACTTGACAGCTAGTGTTGAAGCTACCTGTATGACAGTAGTTTACTTCAGAGCAGTACACTGTGAACATTCTGGGTCAGGTGTCTGGGCCCGGAGTTTCTCTAGGCTGTGTATACTTGGGAGTAAAATATCTGCGTCATAGACAAGAGCATCTTCACCTTTCCTGGGTATGCCATGTGGCTCTGACAGTGGGTACGCCATTGGACACTCACCCAGGAGAATACAAGAGTTCCCGTGCTCTGCGTCCTCATGCAGTTCTTGGTATTGTCAGAATTCATCACTTTGGCCGATCTGAGGTGCGTCAGTGATAGTTCATCACGGTCTCTGGTTACCACTGAGGGAAAGCATCTTTTTGTAATTACTGATCCTGCAGCACTGGTTTCTTCTTCTTTGGATCACTTTCTTTTGCCTATTTAGTCATTGGACTATTTGTTTTTTTCTTATTATCAGAAGTCCTTCAGATCCTAATTATCTTTTTCCTGGCTGTATTTTCCCTTTTCCAGTTGTTTACTGCATTTTTGTATACATTAAGGTTAGTAAGTTAAAGGCAGTCAAATGTATCCATCTTTTCTTGGGGATTTGTAGTTTTTGTCATCTTTCTATTCTCCACAGTCATAAAGACATCTCACAGTATAGTTTTAAGTCTTATTTTTAGGTCTTTTCTTGCACCTGAAATTGATTTTGGTGTATGATACGGGCTAGAGATCTGATTTTTTTTTCATTACTGATAACGAGTTGCCCTAGCACCATCTATCTTACTTTCTCCAACTGAAAGTTTTCATGTGCAGGGGGAAAACCTGAATTTCTAGTCTCTTCTCTTGGCTTACACACTTTTTTCTGTACTGATCCCACACTGCCTTGATTAGCGTAGCTTTATAATGAATATTGAAATATGGCTAATGGAGTCTCCCAACTTCCTTCTTCCAGAGTTTGATGGTTATTCCTGGCTTTTCGATCTTCACAAATGTTACCATTAACTTGACAAGCGTCACGCACACAATTCTATTTTAAGTTTTATTGGAATTATTTTTCATTTATAGATAAATTGGGTGAATACAACAATTGAGGAACAAAATTCCTGTGTGGGATCGAGTTTTCCATAAACATAATATCTGTCTCCGTTTACTTAGAACTTTTTAACTGCTTTCATTTAAAAATTTTGTCCAAAAGATCCTGGACATCTTATATAAGATTTGCTTCTAGGAACCCTATATTTTGTGTTGATATTGTAAATTACACCTTCTAAAAACTTCAGTTTTCTGAGCTCTTTGGTGGCATATAGATAGACATAAAATTGATTTAAGTATATTATATCAATATATTGCGCAATGCTCTTATTGTTTCTAGGAGGGAGGGGTAGAGGGAGGGAGAATCTTGAGCATGTGGAGCCCCATGTGGGGCTTGATCTCACAACCCTGAGATCATGACCTCAGCCGAAACCAAGAGTCAGACACTTAATTGGCTGAGCCATCCAGGCGCCCTGCTTTTATTGTTCCTAAGAAATGTGAGTGTAGATTCGCTTGGGTTTTCTATAGCAAGTCATATATTTGATGGTAATTAAGTTTTCTTTCTTCTTCACTCATAACAAATTGGAATGTGCTTTGTTATAACTAACTGAAACAGGAGGTTTAAAGAAGCCTGTTTCTTTTTTCATGTAACAAAGTACAGGGTAAGTAGTTCCAGGGCATGGCTTCTGTGGTTCCATCAGCCTTTGCCTTAAAATCGTAAGAGGTTGCAACTTCAGCCACTCAGGTCCCCCGTTCAGCATCAGGACAAACGAAAGGGCAGAGGGGAGGATGGGTAGCACATGTAGCAGGAAAGCAAGGCTTTAGGGATTCCACTGTTTCCAGAAATCCTTCCTGCATCTAGTCTTTGGCCTCAATGGCCGGAACTACCCAGCAGCCACCCTCACTGCAGAAGAGGCTGGGATGGGCAGTTTTGTATCTGAAGACAGGGGCGTCCCAAGTGAAACCGAGGTTCTGTCAGGGAGGAAGAAGAGAATCAGTAGGACTCTGCTCTTCTATCAAGAAATGTCTTTTCTTTGT